TCGAAAAGCGATTACGCATCGCAACATGCACACAAGTGCAGGTACTCCAAAAGTTCAGTTATCAAGTGCACACAGCAGTTCGTTCAAGATCGGGCGGTAAATTTTCATAAGATAGAGAAAAGAAGAGAAAAAGACATCGGATATCTTTTAAAAAAATAGCCAACGGTCATGCACGAAAGTGTTCATTGGACGACCTACCGCTATGAGCTATGAAGACCATTGTTGCGACCTTCAATTAGACCCTGTGTGGATACGCCGGCTGAGAAACAATCTCGTTCTTGCTTACAATACTGGAATATGCCTCACCTACTAAAATTCCTCTACATATCCCATAAGAAATAGAGGCTACACATTGTCCATACAAAAGGGAAAAATCCGTTCCAACTTTTTATTGGTAAGGTATGCCTATTTATGGAACAAGCTGCTTTTAAAAGTACGGGCAATTGAGAACGTAGCCAAATTTAAAGTGAATTTGGATACTTTTTGTTCACTATACCGAATATAATGAGGAGGTTCAGTTTGCAAGTGCCTACAGATGTGTTGACTGCATCTGGCCCAAACAACATATGACAGATGTTGCAAGTTCAACCCATTCCATTTCATTCGTTCATGCACTATAGACATTAGTTGCAGGTGGAAGACACCTCAGCTATTGTGCCGCAATACAAAAAAAAAGAAAAAAAAGACACGAAACAGAGACACTCCGGCTGAGTCACCAGTAAAGGATGGACCTCGTCCGGGAGAGCTAGCAGTCGGCTATTGTGCCGCAAAGAAGTCAAATTATCCCAAATAATTGAGATCGTGGTTGGACGGTGAGGCTAAGCGGGAGGGGGAGGGACAAAGAAACTCATAACACAAACGCCATTAAGGTCGGCTCCTTGCCATAGCAAAAGGTGTATCCATCAAAACGTCATCGTCCTTCGGTCCCTAACTAGGGAGCAGAGAGGCTGCAAGCGAGGCCAACTCTGACGTAAAGGTCTTCATTCCTCGTGACCAAGTCATCGCTTGGCCACCTCTCATCTTCTTCCATCCACAACCCCGGGCGCAAACAACACACGTCGCGGGAGTCGGTAGGCTAGCATGCGATCCAAGTGGCCCAGTCATCGGAGCCAGGTGAGGGGAAATAACGGTGCTGAGCGGTTCGCTTCTTTTTTCTACAACACAAACAAGGCGTCGAACACGCTCATTGCTTACATGGTGTTCCCACCAGATATGAGCCAATTTACCAAGGCACCTTACTGTACACTTACCCCATCCTAACACACCTGTTCTACATAAAAATGTCAACCTTGAAGCCCCACTTGCAAGTGAGGAAAAAATACCAATGTATCGCTCACTTCTAACTTCTTTTGTATGCTTTCCCTATTCTGTCAGCTATGCAAACCTGACAATTCACACCAAGTCGTTTTGAAAGTCGAAGCCAATCCATTAATACATTGAGACCGATTTTCCTAACTTCTGTAAAAGTTTATCATCCCAACCAATATGATGGCATCCTGTGCTATGATGCGGTAGGCTACTTTTTCTATTCAATTCAAGTGAAGTCAATAATTCGTTTTTATGCATTCATGAAAGGTGGTTTCAGCTGTACTACACACGCGATCGAAACGGCAAAGAAAAACAATATAACACATGCAAAAACGGTTTTTAAAAAAATCGGCGACTAAAACAATGGTTCATGTGTAGCACCGGAGCATTAAGATAATTTGCTGTCTAGTTCTTGAATGATAATATTCGGATCAAGCAGAAAGCTAGCTAGATAAGGCATGACAGATAAGCCGTAGTCCCGCGTGTGGGCATATATGGCCCTGTAGTTTCGTCGCATGGAGGAACTAGATTTGCAGTCGGATAAAACACTATGTAAAGGATGGCTGATATCAATGAGCATTTTCGGAGTTACTTTTGTGTATGAGTTAACAAGAACAGATACACTGTGTTGAACTAAGGTTGGTTTAGAAATGCCACTACATCGAGATAGATGTTTCAGCGACCTATCAAGTATTTTGAAATGCCTACCCAGTACGCCCGGAAAGATCACAGTAGAACAGCAGGTCCAGTTTGGTAGAACACATGCAATGACGAATCGCAGGATCAACTGGTGAGAGGGTGAGGACGAACGAAGAAGGAGACTTTGGTGAGTAGCATTTACGTGAATTGACCACGATAAATCATGGTTCAGTGAGATTCCGATACTTCACTGACGTCGAGAAGCTCAGGCTTGCCCTACTGATGTGAAGTTGCAGACAGTCAGCAATGAGTTTCTGGTAAGGATCTGCCTTACTTGCTTGTTATTTCTATCCCCTTTATCTTACTTCACTATATTCTTTTCTTCTCCATTGTTGGTCACGACTAGGCCATTCTGCTTAGGTGATAGAATGAACCTTCCAAGTAGAATCTTTACTCAGAAAAGGCGAATATCCAAACACCCCCTGGTAAATAGAAAAAGGGTGCTGAACAAAAAACAGTACACTCGGAACTGTGGCATATGGCGCGAATTCGGATGAATTGAGTCATCATGTGCGCACGCACAAAAACCAATGAATGACAAATGGGCTGACTAGGTGAGTGGCTAGCTTAGAAATAAAAAAGCCCAAATGATAACTCAAATCGGTGGCTAACCCGCTTCGAAGTCACACTGACACACCATCAGATGGTGTGTAGAAGTGCGGGTGAAACCTCTCAAAGGACTACCCCGGATGGAAGCTGGTCCCAACGATACAGTCCCAGGGATGATCGTATTACTTCGCTTGGTCTTTCTTACAATACTTCCCTCTTTGTCTTGAATTTGTTGGATTCTTGATCCTGGATACTTCAATTATACACTCTTATTGTTCCATCGACATAAACCATTAATCTATTCATTAGACTACGCTCTCAATATTATAGCAGTGCCTTTCCTGTCCTTCTTTATCTATGTCAAAGTCAGTATGCTTTCCTAACTACCCTGTTTTCGATATTTTGTACATAACCGTAATTTGTTCATTGTGCCTTGTTGAGTGTGTCTAACTGCACAGAACAAACGTTCATTCATTTATTTATCAAAGTGTCTACCTATCCCACCTCGACGTCAATTTTTACGTTGCACGGCTGAGCAAGCCATAAATCTTCATCTACAAGTGAAAGCTCACAGGAAAGCAACTGAGCCCGCTTAGTCTCACAACAAGTGTGTAACACACACAATACATCTTGTCTGATCGGGTGAGTTCGATATCTACATCTAGGAATGTCCATGCACTTCACTCTGCCTTAACTTGCCCCACGATGCTTACTATCTTAAATTACTCGGCTAACAAAGCTGAAGCTCTGAAGATCCATATGCAGCTACATCGATGTAGTAATCCTAGGCCTCTCTTTTTTCGCATATGAGTAAAACTACACCAAGTACAGATAACGACTTGTATTACTCTAGGCTACTATGTACGAGTGTGTGCTCCTTTTCTGATTTTGGTTGCTGGCTCCAATCGTTTTAGCCCCTTTTCACGTTTCTTTCTTTTTCAAGAGCCTCCATCGTATCCCCAATCTACACTAGATACAAAAACACAACACTCATGTTCTGATAGAAAACAACAGTGAAAACCCCCTCCAACCATTGACAACCCTGCATGCGTGAACATGTTGCACACGTGCATACGATCCGTTCCTTTGTGGGCACATTTTCTCGGTCACAACAGAAATATGCATTATTATTATTATTATTATTATTATTATTATTATTCCATTTCTGCCATGCGACCACTACCAGTCGTGCGGAGCCTAGAGATACTGCAGGGCCGTCCGCACCCAAGCAGATTCGTGTCAATAACCCCTAGGCCAGACACGACAAGCTAGAGACCCAGCGAAAGCCGCATCGGCAATATATATATATATATATATATATATATATATATATATATATAACACATATTGCCGATGTATAACAGCATGCTCAAGGTCACATGGTGGACGCCTCATCATTCTGACCCCGTTAACTAGGCTGTAAGGACGAATTCTATGCATGGTACGTAGAACGTGATACTTCCAGTCCAGTGCATGAGGGTAAAGGGAATCCGATTGAAAGAGTGGCATCCAATTGGTCACTAACCACGCCGAAATATATCCGTACGATATGATTTGAAGGCCCAATAAGCAGCCTACAAAGAATTGAGGAAAACAGTTGTTACACCATGGACTTGGTCGGTTTGAACTGTCTACACTCTCAGGTAATGGACCTGCGACTCAGATGTTGACATTGCAAAATCCCTGGTTCTAGTTACCGTCCTTTTACCACTTCTGGTAAGATCACTTAAGTTCGAAACTTGTCGTACAGCGCAGTGGTTTTGATGGGCAATCCCCAATATTCATCTACTTCATCAGTCAAGGTCTTAATGATAGAAGTGAACAGAGTTCACTTCAGTGCGAATAGCAATTCAGATAGAAATCGCGCGTCGTAATCCATTCACACTACGGATGCTTTAAGATTACTCCACCAAGGAATCCCTTATACATCTTTCCAGAGGAGTATTGCTCGTTGCTTTAGAATCAGACACCTGATTCCTATTAGAAATGCAACTTGAACCGGCAATGTGGTTTACTAATGTTCATGAGTACGGGTATATCTTGGCGTCGCTGGCCATCAACGATACACCTCGCGATCGAATTCATTCTGTGTTATGATTCTCCTGTAGAGGTAGCTGGAGCACAAAATTCGGAACGCGGTTACATTCGGATGTCGTTAATTATAGGCTGCTAGGCTACACAATCGAGGCATCTTATAGAAATCGGGAGGTTAGTTAATAGAGAACATAAATGAATTTCAGATATCCACTTAGCATTTCGTTTGTCATACCCACTTGGGCCACCTGTGACTAGGCCAACTGAGAGATCAGTTCGTCCAACAATCACCAGACCACGGTTCGAATCCCAGCGGGGCCACCTCGAAAATGAGGATTAGTGGGAACGAAATTGGTTGGGAGCGCATAAAATGAATTCAGGCTACAAGATAATCAAAAGAAGGGCCGTGTGGTAATCTGACAATCCTATTCTTTGCACATCAATGATACGTACAAGAGAAAAACTTGTCCAACAGAGAAGACGCCCAATTAAAACTCATAAGAAAACGATCAAGCATAGGACTTTGATCTCACATAGCTGACGAAGCGTGACGAATGTTATTGTATGGTCACATATTGGTAATGTGTCACCAAGAGGAAGTTACTATATGTTCTCAGGTCTCTTGTCCGTGTGGTCTCTTGGGCTTACACCGCGTCGCATAAAACCATCTGGTGCAAGGCACTATGGTCCACCGACACAAGGTGGTTCGATGGAACCATGTTTCTGATTGAAAGGGGATTTGATAAAACAAGCACAGAGGCCCGCATAATTTGAAAGACACTGTTCAGAGGCAAAAGAAGTCAAGAGAGAAAAAGCATTCAGCGCGTAGTTCGGAAGCGGTGTGGTAAACCATTTTCAGCGGAAGAAACACAAGAAATCAAAATGAACTGCAGTAAAATATATGATGGGTGAGCTCACCTGATCGAATTGTCTGCATGGCCAGCCAATAAGTGTAGTCATATGCCTCGTGCTGGAATCAACGACACGTCCGACAGAGTCCACAGTACATAAATCATGTAGTCTGAAAGTATTCGAAAACCAAGGAGTACTCAGTCGGTGGCCCCCGTCAATCGATGAAAAAGTCGTTCGTTGCATTCTTGACTTTTTTCCGGTGTGCGTTGACTCAGAAATACGTATCCACCAATAAACTCCACAATCGTTTTGCAATTGGTACACAGAGGGCGGAAAGCCACAGGACCGGTGCGAAAATCCAAGACCACTTTGCCGGCATCCCAGTTCACATTCCAAGACCGAAGATCGGTAAAATTCCAAGCCCGAAGCACATCGCCGGTGTGTGGAGAGACAACTTCCACTCGACCTTGGCAAATAGCAATGACGTCGTCAACAGGGGAGCTAAATAGACCGCCATTGTGCGAGCCAAGATCAAGGCCGGGATTCCGATCGAATGCTACGGTAAAATAACTTCGGCCGAAGCTAGTCAGTCGTTGCCACGCTTGGATGTATTTGTATTTGGCGTCGAGTAGAGAGAAGTCCCTGATATTAACATGCGCCTCGATGATACGTTGCCGGAGGTAGTCTTTTGACCGGCATTTACGGATAACTTTTTCGGCGCAAAAGTCGGTCAAATCCCCCAAGTACTTGACTGACTCATCTGGTGTTATGGCAGGTGTCGGGCCAGGTGATTGTAGACGCAATGTCTCCAAAATCACGTCCACTTCCCTTTCATAAGCAACGCGACTGGCTAGGGTTTTACCTCTGGTTAACAGGCGACAAGCCGCTAGCCACCGGGCATACTGCTCGGCGGCTTCGAACCGCAGCCAGATTTCCTCTCTTGTCACCTGGGAGAAATTCGGTTGATGCGTTGAGGCCGTATAGATTGCATTCATACTACCAGCACGCAGGCCATTGTAGGCGGTACGATTGGGTTCCGTAAGGACGACTAGCTTCAAGATGTATTTGTGCGTGGCGGTACTCACATCCGGTGTGACAGAACAATCCCTCAAGGAGTATGCGTACAGAGGCTGATTCGTTTCCTTTTCATTTTTAAACAAGTACAGACGCGACTCACGAATAACGACCCAGTACACTTTGTAACGACGAATCAAAAGAGTGCGTTCTTTGAACACTCGAAGACTATCTTGTAAAGTGGGGATTTCCGATGTGTCGGGCACGTCTTGACCTCTGGGAGTGGTTACCCTCAGAGTGCCGTCGAAAAAGCGAGAGTGGTTTTGCAATGCCCTCGAAGCGGAACCAGGTTCTTCAGCCACCCCGCATGACTGTTCCAGCTCAGCCAACAGCTCATCAACTTCGTCCACTGAACCCGCTTCACCGCGTTGGCAACGATTGGAGGGTCCATCTAGCATACTCATTGTCGGTGTTGGGGACGTGGCACTGGGGAGGCGCAACAGGGAGGAACTATGACCAGCGCCACCCAGCCCGTAATGGGGAGTGTGCGGCAGGCCAAACTGTCGTCTTGATAGATCTGGACTGGGTCTAGACCCGGACCGATAGTTGGTCCCCATGGTACTCGTGGCTCCAAAGGTTGGGTAGTAGTTGGGACTTGACGGCTCTGTGAGTGGACTTCCTGAATATGCCATTTGCCGAACCTGTGCAGACTGCAATTGGGCTTGAAGTTGACAAGCCGCAAACACAATCATCTCATCCTCCGTACAATCAAGCAGGCCAGAGAGGACAGACCATCGGGCCTGTTCGTAAAGCTGGTGTATACGAACAGCATCATATTTCAAGTTTATGTCATAAAATGAGTAATATTTAAAGCATAAATACAACGTTGGAATCGATTCGCTCATGCTAGTAACTCGAGGAGGTTCTATCCCATGCTCGAGGAGTGATCGGGAAGAATCAAGCCATCCGCTGTTTAGCCGAGCTTTTTGAACCAGGTTCTTCGGTCGCATGAGCCAACCGTCAGCGAACACTGTTTTAGCCGATCGCCTGAAGTTGCAATCGGCGTACTGAGCTGCATCCAATCGTTCACGGTCAAGTGAATTCTCCGATTGCAAGCGCATGATAGTTCCAGCACCAGAGCGTAAAGTTTCGTAAGGACTGATTGGAGGACCGTCCATTGTGTGGGGATACATGTGATGCCCGTTCGCGCCGATGGTCGTCGCCTTCAGCGTCGCAGTATCCGTACGCGAATCATTCGCCTGGTTGGCTGGTCGTTTAATCGCAGACCGTAGATTCGGAAGAGGTGTGTTGGATTTCAAATGTGCTTTTGTTATGGGAAACGATAAGGAAAGTTCTTCCGAGTGGCGGATATTTAATTCTTTACAAATACTCCGCACAACATTAAACACACGTGAGGAGTAATTCACTCGGAGTAGGACTGCAATCATGGAGGGTAAAATCACTTGAAGATCACCATGCATACGGCGGAACATGAGTTTAGCGTCTGATTGTAAACCATACTGGTCCAGGGTTGTCCGATTGTGCAACAGCCACATGTTACGGTCGGACCACCAAATCGCGTGATCGGACCAACTCTGCTGCACATGAACACTCTCCACAATTCGATGCATTAGCACACCTAGAGTCATTCCACCAAGTACACGCACTTTCACTTCTCTGTTCAGATCGTCTACGAACACACACAATTCCCATGATCCATCGATGTAATTTCCATCGACCAAAAGCCCATTTGCGACTTCAAAATTGTGCGGTGAATAACCGTTAACAACCCGTCCCGATGTCATCGGATTGTAAGGGTTAGAAATGTATGACATTCCAATGGCTGAGGCATAGATACAACGCAAGAGAATGCATGCACTGGGGATTATTTGGACGTTAGAAATCCGTCGACCAAAGGCTACAACATCGCCGTTTGCACTCGTGGTCTATCGGCCGTGCCTGTTGCCAATGTACGCAGCCAGAGCAGACTAACGTGCCACATGACCCAACGTTTCTAATTGGTTGTCATTGTGTAGCTACAGTTGGTCGCCTCCGCACTTTGGCGCAGCACGGGAAGCGTGCTGCCTACGTGTGCGTACGGTCGTGTGTCTAGTCACGAGCACTGCGCGGCTATCTGGTGAAGGCGTGGTTGGTACATCAACAACCTACGCGTACTGGGGCAGTCTTACACCGCACGCGCTGGCTAGGCCAGACGGTCTACCGAGTTGTCATAGCATCCAGGACTGTTACCATGGTGACTAAACGACGTTACCACCTTAGTCAGGCTAATGTGCCCTCCCAGCGTGCCCAGGGAAAGATTTGCTTTCAGACGCAGACTTCATGAGTAACCGAGGTGTAAGGTGTCAATGGTAAATAGAAGGTGTTGCTGCTTTTTCTAAAGAATTGACCAGTGGTTTTGACGAGTATACTGTAGTCAAGGCTTTTCTCAAATCACGGCTTCTGAAACAAAGCGTTCTTCTCTATACCACAGGTCAAACTACGGCCCGTGAAGTCAGTTCATCAGATCCACCGCCGGTATTAGAATTTTCCGAATAAAAGATTTCGAACATGGAAATTTGCGCTACAAACATAAATATCACGTTACGAATAATATATTTTCGCAGGCGCAAAGAGCCCCGACAGGTGACTGTTTTGAATTATTGTATCTACATTTTCTGGTTTACTGTAACATCCCAGTTTCCATCAATATTTACTTATTATAGCCTGCCATCAGGGATTTCTGTGTTTGACGATGATAGGCAAAAGTGAACTATACGTGTGAATAGAGGTACTAAAGTGGCAATCACCAAAGGAATGCCATAGGAACGTGTTTTTATGAAAATGTTATCATCAGTCAGGAAAATTCCCCAGTCCAGATGCTAATTGAGCTTATAGCGCGTTCATCTAACGCCATCTCCGATACACAGATTTGAAAGGCCACCCAAAGGCGTGCGACAGAACACAGGAAAATAGGCTACAAAATGTTTATTAGAAGGTTGCTAAATCTTAAGCCTAAAAATAAGGCACCGGAAGATGATTAGCTAGGGAGTATGTGGTAGGGTACTGAGTGCGATCGGAGAACCGACGTTCTTTTCGAAGCCCACGAACGAAGTCCGGATGTTGTCGGTGTGTCTCATACAAACACGTGCACCATACAAACATGCAAACCCCTTACTTCCCTAATAAACGAGAATACTGTGATGGCATAGTATTTAGGATTGAATTACACATCAATCGGGGAATCTCCAGGTCCCTACTACCTGGCATCTAGGCCAGTCCTCAAAACTTCACTTGAAGCGAGTCCCTAAGCTAATGTTTGCGTTACTCTAGGAACTCTGTTCAGTGACACAATTGCCTTTCCCACTTTATGTAATAAATCAGATGAGTAGAAATTTCGCGAAGCCTGCGGTTACAACTCGCGAAACTGCGGATGAAAAGCACCGCTTTAAGCAGTTTATTTAGGCAGACTCTATTTATGTACTATTATTAATATTTGAGATCTTATATTACAAAGGGCACCTGACCTCTGTTCTCTTGTTTCAGTAATATGTTGATATCTTTCTAACATAAAGCCTACTTCATTCTCAAACCTCGTTTACTTAACTATATTCCGGCTACCAAGAAGGAAAAAGTGGAGGCAGACTGGCGCGTTTTCGATTAAGAATCGACGGCACTTACTTTAATTATGGCTACAAAGTACCAGAAAGCCAGTTTCTTGATATGCAGAGGAAGTTTTGTGGTTTTGAGAGAGCGCAACATTCGGCGTCACTACGGAATAAGGTACCTGTCAAGGTAATTAGGTTTTTCTGTTGAGTTACACTCCAAGAATATGAGTCAATGAAACCGTGGTTCCTAACCCCGGGGGGTAATTATCCCACGGAGTAAAATGAAATAGTACGGGAAGTAAATATAGTACGAAGATTGAGTCTTTCCTCTGCCACCGAAGAAAACTGAAAACAAAAGCAGCGGTATCGAAAGATGTAACTATCTAACCACTATTGATTAGCCATCAATGACTAGTAGTTGGTAAGTGCTCAGTGAATTAGAAAATCTCAATAATAAATTTTATTAGCAAAAAGAGGATTATTAGCTGGTGTTCGTTGCTCGCATGAATTGACGGTTAATTCCCAATCGGAACTGGAGATCGCTGGGCCCCCCACAAGAGAGAGAGAAGACCGGATCGGACGAGCAAAGGAATAGGGATGTATTAGCCAACTACACCGTTTATTATAAAGGTAATATCGGAACTTCCTGAGTAGTATTTAAAGCTTGCGTGAAAAACTTTGAAAGGTCAGCTTACCGCCAATCAAGTAGTGCCACCCACGAGTTGGTTGGTCGCTGCGCCCGGTTGCCTATCTGTTGGTACCAATCAGTTCAGTGTGTTTGGCTCGCCTGCCATGCCTTGGCTCTGTAACGGTGATGGGAACCTCGGCTGTTCGCTTAGCGTACTGCTTCCTAACACAAGCCTTCAAAGTAGCGCAGCTAAATGACGCCGCTTTCGGATCACCCGTCGATCACTGTAGTTTTGTGTCAGGTAGTCTTGCACCGGCTCGAACTACAGAGTTGAGTGAGCATTTAGGTGGGAGCATAGATCAGCCGACCAGGTAAAGTAGAGAGCGAATGTTTACAAGCTAAAGAGTACAAAGAGTCGATTCCTGTTCAGGACGTATCGATACAGTGGGGGTGGGAAGCTGTCGACTAGGACAGACTTGGAAGAGATGGTTGAAGCAAATGAGCAGCCAGTGAGATGTGTTCAGATTCGATCAGGAGTCACACAGCAATGCAAGGAACCAAATGACTTTGGAGCGCAGTACAAGATGTGTATTGGCTGAAACTGCGGCAACTGGATCGGGATTACGTAATATCACCCGTCTCATTAACATATATCACCTCTTGATTGTTTAAAACGGGCTCAAAATTATTTTAATTATCAAGAGTAACTAAAAATAGTAACCTTTTCGTAATTTAAGTAGAAACGCAGTAGATAATGGTTGCCTAGCTTTTAAAACTATAATATTTGTGGGATAATTGTTTATAGTGAGCTCGCCTTGTGAGTAACAGCTTAAAAACGTGAAGAACCACTGCCATGAAACAAGGCTTCGAAATACAAAGAATCAAATCACTAGAAAGCCTGAAGAAATAATTTGTCAATCGTACAAGTTAAAAAATATCGCGTAAGACGGATGAACTAGGAAAAACATTGAATAACGTCAATTTTATTAGAGTGGATACGTCTAGTACGAATGATTCCCAAATTAAATAGACAGGAATGCTGCTGCTGTGCACGTTGAAGGAATGTGGGCCGGTTCTGTTGATGAAGCGTGGCGCCCCTTTACATGCCTCCCAATCTTATTTCTTCGGATTAATGCCACATACGAAGTGTTTGAGTGGTGCAGCGCAAGTTACCCACGGTCCCTCTGTAGGAACAGGGGTCATGTGCTTGTCCAATGGAGCCCGTAATGACAGGCAAATTATTAACTGAATGCCGCCAACCATAATGGGAGAAGCAAAGGCGTTGCGTGCTGATAAATTGGGTTTGTTTGGAACTATCAGTATCTCAGTAAGTTTAACTGTGTAAATGCCAAAGCACTTGGAGGGAATATGATACTCTTTACTGCACTTAGCTTGTGATATTCATCTGTATGCACGCTAGGTCTAAGATAACTATCATTTTGTTTATGTCAGTTTTCGTTAATGGAGATGTCGATGGCTTTTGCTTATTGCACTGCGCGCCACTGACCCGTGATCGAGATGAAGTGGGGTAAGTGGGGGAAAATGGTACCAAATTTTTACATTTGGCTGAAACTCTCATTTTATTTTTAAGAAATGTAAACACAAACTGAGTGCATCTTCTCACCATCGATCGAGTGGTTAAGAATCAAGGTATCGGGAATCTGTATTGTGTGATATATATGTTAGGCCCATCACCTCTTTGTAACCTCTTATCACGGCACCAAGGCACATGTTGCCCGTGCGCTGGAAAAATCGCACCACAAACATGAAGCAGCTGTGTAAATCGTAACAGCAAAGCCCTCGTGAGGTCGAATATTTCAGAGCTTCATTTCGCAAGTTTACTAGCTTATTTACTGGTGAAACAAAGAATAATTTGAAATGCATAGACCCAAGACAGAAATTCATTTAAGTTAATAAAGGATGAGAGTAAAAACGTGGTGTCCGATCCATAAACAACTCTCATTTCACCCAGAACTTCATCCGATTCACAATTAGAACAGTGCAACAGAACATTGTTACTACCAACATCCGGACTGCTCATGTGCTCAGTGACCACAAGTTGTACACTGTATCCACAGCACACCAGGAAGACTATTGTTATATTGGTGATAAGAAACCACCACGCCCCGTGTGACTTGTAGCAGAGCATTCTCAGTTACGAGCAGACTAGTGCTTTTTCTGTATGGCAGTACATTCGTCATAATCGCTTGTTTCATACCAATCATATGTCCCGTGATTCATTGAGATCAATAAATTCAAATTAGCACGCAGCCGTGCTTTGAACTGTAATCAGTGTTTTCACACCCACGTCGGCCCGTGCAGTGTTTCGAAAATATACTTCCTGTCCGGAGCGTTGTCTTTTGACTCGCGTGGCGCAAACTAAGAAGCTGCTAACTCGAACCCTGGGGACACAACAACTATTACTATGGCTCTCCATACACATTAAACAAAAATATTCATCTTCGTCAGCAGCCAAAACAGAACAGTTCCTCGCGTTATGTTTGTTCATGCACAGTGTGAGGCTTATTTTACCTCTCCCCTTACCTGGAATATTCTTTTCAACACTCAAAGGATGCAGTATGCCCCAACCTTCAAAACAGGCCTCCGCCACTGTTTGCCACCTGTATACTTAGCTCCAAATTCACCAGTTTCTAACATTGCTTTTACTGCCATATCTGTGTTGAGGAAACTACCGTTACTACTCACCTACAGCTCTTCCGGAATCGAATATATTCACCC